CTCCAATTTATCTACCAGCACACTAATCACTTCATAATTTTGCTGCATATAGAGAGATTTCAGGCCTCGTAGTGGATGGTCTCAAATCCAGTTGTGGCTCATATCAGAGACTTTCCTGTCGTCTGCCAGCAGAATTCCATTGTGTCCCTTCTCTACCCTCAACCCGGGTCCCTCGGCTGCCAACCAGCAAGCTCTCCAGTTCACCCCCAGCAGCAGAGTTGTCACTCTTATGTCTGTATGTTAAGAGGCTGTACTTTGGAATCCCCAAATCTTCTTGGTCACATGAGTGCTGGCTCCATCTCCTAGGAGACTTAATTCCATTCATCCCTGGTTATATTCCTGGTGAAACATTTACATAGTAATATGTGCTGCGCCACTTAAAATTGTTAATTGGAGATTGAATTACTTGTCAGCTTTTAAAAATGTAGTCCTCTCAGGTCAGGGAAAGGAGGGTGCTAACAGCGCTGAGTAGATGAGCTGTTGCAGAACCAGGCTTTTTTTTTTTTTTTAAATTCTTTCTTGTCTCCTCCCTTTTCTTCTCTCTCATCCTTCCTCCTTTCTTTTGTCCCTACTATTTTCCCACTTTCCTCCTGCTTGCATATATTCTTTCTTGTATCTATTTCTCTTTCTACCTTAACCCAACCTTTATCAATAACCTGACAGATCCCTGAGCAACTTTAATATCTAGACTCATGGATGAAGCCCATGATGACGTTTGCTCAGGAAATTTAACAAAACCGCTCCTCAGATCCTCTGGAGAATGGAAATATCCTAATGAGATAGAGGATTGCAGCAAGGACTCAGCTTGTGCAGTTTAATTCTTAGATGCAAGAGGAATTTTATACTTGCCGCTTCTTTAAATAGAAGCTTGCCCTGCCCCACCTAGGATTACTTAAAAGGGGAAAGGTTGGATACAGGGGAAAGCAGTGATAGATTTCATTTTTTATTCCATCGACATGTGTCATTATTTTTCACATCTTTAGCACATGGTTGCAAATATTTGCCTATGAGTCTAAGGGTCTCCCACCTAATGTGTATATCAGGACAATAGTAATTTATAAAAACTGAGCTAAGTTGCATTTGTGAAACTTGGAGAGCTCAATGCCTGTATTGATAAATATCCCGACAAGTAAATACTACACTCACTCAGTATAACATGGTAATTTCATTTGCACAAAACCTTACAATGTTCTGCCACTTCAGTCAAACATCGGGAGCACCCAGGAAAGGAAGAACGTGTTTATCTTGATCTCCAAAAAGGGATTTAAGGGAGAGAGCAGGCGGTATATTAGACTGTTTTCATTGCCTGTCAGCTATGGTAAACCTGAGCTGTCTGCAGTGTCTCTAGATAAGCAGCAGCAGCAGCAGAGGCCTTAGCATGTCTGTATGACTGCATTCGTTTGTACTTCTTAGGTATCTCAGTGTTTTGAAAGGCTAGGTAGCATCTTGGGTGGAACCTTTAACAACTGTGTCTGTTCATCATTGGCTTTTGTCCGGTGCCCTTAATTCTCAAGTCTGCCAGCTGCAGCGAGTGAAGTGCTGGATGAGGCTTGTTTATGTGGATAGTGGACAAGGGCTCCTCTTTCCTCTCTAACTCGGCCCTTACTCAGTTTTGTCAGCATGGGCACCCTTCAACACAAACCCTGTGATGGTGCCCGTTCATACTTTCACAGTGTAGCTTCTCCACCCGAACCAGGGGTAGGTAGCAAAGTGGGGCCTCAGGAGACACCTCTGTTTGAATGGCTTCTGTGTTTGCAGAGGTGATTGGTGCTTGTTGGGTGGGTGAAGTTTGTGTCATGCAGTAGAAAAAATAATTTGGAATAATTTGGGAGTGAAATATGATGAGCAACTTAAATATAAATGCCTATCTCCAAATTAAAAAGACTGGCAAATGAAACACCCGATGCACAAAAATATTATGTTGATGAGAGTCATTTCCCCTAGATTTTTCTGTAGAAGGTTAGTAGGGCAACATACTAAAGTATTATTTTTATTACAAAAGGTGATTCTATGTGTATGAGGGCTCTTGTCTTTGCCTTCCTAGTGTCTGATCAGGGTTTGCGTACCTATTCAGCATGATCATTTCAGAAGTAGGCAGAATGGATTCTGTCTGCACTCAGATTCTGCTTCTTCAGTTGGAGCTTTTGTTGCGAAGTATTCTAAAATCATTAAAACCACTTGAGTCAGCAGCGACCCCTATAAATCAGGAGCTATTGTGTGTGCCCTCGTTCTATTGGGGTGTGCTCCAAACACACGGTCATTGAAGACGAACAGGAGGTGCTGCCTTCTCTCACCGATTGCTAAGGAGCTGTGATTGTTAGCATTTGTTTACGGTTAGTGAAGCAGGTTTCATTTTGTGTGTCCTTGCCCACCCCACCCCACCCCTCCTATGAAAAGGCTGATCAAAGGAGAGCTAGTTGGATAATCTGTTAGTCTGTCCTGTAATTTTTCTCTTTAATTTCCAAATTAAATGAGTCTTCTTACATGACAAACATTTCTTTAGCCCACAAGGAAGACCTTGGTTGTGGTAAGCCCTGCGTAGGTTTCTTGCTGAACCTGGTGGAGAAAAAAAAAAAAAGGTGCAGATACTGCTGTCTTTTCAAAATACTGCCAAAGCGTCAGAACCCGAGTTTCCATTTCCGAAAGGAAGACATGCTGAGTTATTAAATGTCTGTTCCTTCCGAGATCATCTCCCCTGAGTTCGTGAGAATGTGGGGTAGAATGGACAAGCGGCAGAGTCTGACATAACCTGTTCTGGATGTTCTCTTCCTCTTTGAAGGGGCAAAGATGTCTAGGGAAGATGTATTTGAACAACTCAGCAGCTCTTACTCTGCTTTCACCCTTTCCCAGGATTGGGAAGGTGTGAGATTCTAAGTGGTCACGCAATTGCCCAGTACTGGAAGCAGTGTGGCATAGGAAGGGAAGCAATGTTTGTGAGCAGAGAGCAGCCCTGGCTCACAACAGGGACAAGAGGCTCTTGCCTCCTGACATGGATTGTGAACAGCAGATAGTCCGGGTCAGTGCAGTATCTCCTTTTTATTTCTTTTCCCCTTTCCAATTTTATTTTAATAATTAAAAATACTGCTGATCACACTGAACGACTTCTAGCAGAGAGGCAGTCTGTCCCAGAAGGACCAGTTGTGGGCCATCAGGTTTATGACGTCCATAAAACTGGAGCCAGATCAGAGCATGGCCTCCCTGAGTGACAGGGTTTCTGCCTCCACCAGAGTCCCCCATCAACTGGATATTTGTTTAGGGTAGTTCTTTTTATTCTGTTTTGTTTCTGGTGCATGTGAGAGTGTGCATGTGTGCACACATTTAAAGATATAAATGAAACAGGTATGTAATGCCCTCTGCCTGTTAGAAAGACTAAAGCCATAAAAATAACAAACGGCGTGTATTTGCTAGAATGTCAAAGTTATGAGTTTATTTTGTAATGATGTGCTCCTGCCTTCATGAGGTAAACTGGCCGTGGCGGAGGTGTTATTAGTAATATGGACTCAGTGGAGCAGAAAGCCGAGTGACCGAGAGATCAGTGTATCAGTCAGAGAGAGGGCAAATGGAAAGAGACAGCAGGAGAATGAGAAAAGAGCCGCAGTGCCTGGGCTGAGATTAAAGGCAGGCGGCGAGGAGGATGGGAGCCCAGTGGTCGGATTTGGTCTCTCCCAGTCCTGGAGCTCCTTCAGAGGAGCTGCCAGCGTGTTACTCAGCTTGGAGCTGCGACAAGGGCCATTCTCTGCACCTCTTATTAAGGACAGCAGTAATCTGAGAGCAATTTTGCTTTCCATATTCCTTTTGGTAGCGTCTCTTCCACCCCTCCTAGCTGAAGTTAAATGGAATAAGGCCAACTGGGTCACACTGAGGTGATTACTTTGGTCACCAACTTCCTCAGCTTCAGAGGGTCTTGATGCAGGGGCTGACCCAGTAAGCGGGAACCTCTGAAAGCTCCTAACAAGAAGGGGCAAAATGGGAATATACAGGTAGAATTCTCTGGCCTTTCATTTATTGGGTTCTCCCCAGAGATTGGAAATGAATAAAAGTTAGTAAGGAAGAAATTTTGTGTTGTAGTTATTTTCTAAAAGAGGAGGCAGTGGAAAAAGAAAGGTAAAATACAGTAAGCACTCTACAACTGTTCAGAGCTCTCCAGGGCCACCCTAGATGACTGGCAATTACTACACACTCAGCAGTTTGCAATAGTCAGTGATCAGACTGCCCAGTTCCCATCTGCTGGGTCAGAAGACCTCCCTCCCTGAAAGAAATTATTAACCAGGCTTCAAGGGGAAAAGAAACCCTATAATTTCTAAGCCCAGGAATTTTTTTCTTCCATTTTTCTTTAAAGGAAACTTTGTGGTTTCCAGTTGCAGGTACCCTTGGGCACCCCACAAGGGTCAAACTCTTTCAGGGACACACCACAGATGGAGGCCCTGAATTCCCTGGATCCTTGGCAGGAAAGGATGGAGAATAGTTCCAGGGTTCATGTGTATATCATGAGTTGCTTCAGGATTTTTCCAGCCTTAGGTGGGAAGAGGGAGGGGTTTAAAAATCAATGTAAGTGGAAAAGTAATCTATTTTAGAAAACAAGGACTCCAAACCTCACTGTTTCTTTAATAGGGCTGCCACTAAAGATTGTCAAAAGAGAGGCATATTCCCTCTTTTATGTATATATACAACAAGTTTGCTTTATCTGCACCCTGTGTCTCGGAGTCCCAGCCTCACCCACCCCTGTGATTTCTGGCTTATATGTGGCAGCCAGGAAAGAGAGAAAGCAGAAGAGAGAGGAGGAGCTTGCTGGTTTTAGATTGCAGCAGTATAGGTGATTGTTAAAAACCTTTTTTGTCCTCTAAGTTTTCTTTTTAGGATAAAGATTGGTCCTTTAGAACAATCTGTGGAGGCTGGAATCTCTGTCTTGGGGAGAAAAATGTCATTTTAGTTAGAATTCCAAAATAGACTGCCTTTATTTCTTGTCAAGATAAATGTCTTTTCTCTGCTTGTTTCTCAAGGTCCTGGGTCGAGAAGTATACACCTCCAATAATCAGCTTGGAGGCATCCAGATCATGCACAACAATGGGGTGACCCACAGCACTGTTTGTGATGACTTTGAAGGGGTTTTCACTGTCCTGCACTGGCTGTCTTATATGCCCAAGGTGAGCCCTTTCTGTCTAGGACTGATACAGCCCACAGCTTACTACCTCCACGTTTGAGGTCTCTTTTTAGTCTTTTTAGGGTGGAGGAATTTTTAATGAAATTTTCCTCTGAAAGTTGGGGTTTTTTTGTTTGTTTGTTTTTTCCTTAACAGCCATCTTTGGCCTTCTACCTTTAAAATGTCTTTGGATTTCATTGATTAAGTCTCTCTCTGATATTTTCTAGCAACAGAGACCTTCATGGTCTGTCTGGGCTCAGATTTCAGCATGTTAAATCTTCCTTCTTATGGTGGGCTTGCTCCTTTGCAGTCACCATCCTTCCCTCTGGGGAACTTCCCAGAAAGCCTGGGCATGCTGAAATCAAGAGTCAGGATGCAACCCTTTGTGCCAGACTCCTGTGTGGGACATGAGGGCTGTACCTGTTCTTGGGGACTTGGCATGCATTGGGATGCTTCTAGGTGATGATTGGGACTAATGCGTGTGAGTCCCTGTGGTGGACAGTATGGTCTGTGTCTGTTGTAACTTTTACTGAGTTGGAAGATATGAACTGTTCACTGACTCCTGTGCTCTTTTCCTCTCCATCTTTTAGAGTGTGCACAGTTCAGTTCCTCTCCTGAACTCCAAGGATCCCATAGATAGGATCATCGAATTTGTTCCCACAAAAACCCCATATGATCCTCGATGGATGCTAGCAGGTCGTCCTCATCCAAGTATGTAAATGTTTGAGGATGCTGTGGTATCCTGCCCCTCAAACTTTCAGTCTTCTTTTTATTCACTAGCCAATTACTGCACAGTCACTTGTGGCAGAGATAACAACTAGCAAAGTACCTGGAAATGAGAGAAAGCTGCAAAATAGCCCTCTGAAGAAAAAGGTAGACAGTCCTTCATGAGAAGTGAAAAACAAATGAAATGAGATTTACAAGTCAGTCCTTGAGTCATAAATAGTGCAATCACTGGTATATTCCTTCTGTTTATTCTGTTCCTAGAGCACTTATTACTTAATACATTCAAAGACTTTAAAATAATTAAATATAAGCCATAGAGATATAGGGACCAGATATATCCCTCTGTCTTTGGGCTGCTCTTTTATAACTTAAAAAAGAAAAAAACAGGCAATTGCATGTACAGTACATGCACACACTCATTTGTCAGTTGGTTTGGCTGATTTTGTTTTGTTTTTAGGATTGATTTATATATGCATACAAAACTGGGCTACAGGCTAGAGGTGCAGGGGTGGTGAGAGAATTCACCAGAGACCGAGTGGGCAGCAGAACAGGCAGATTAAGGAAGTATATTGCTGAAGGGAGCAGCGGGCAAGACAGGAGAGGTTTGTTGCACCATGTGGCTCACCTCCCTGGCTGGGATCGAACTTGTGCTGAGGTGGCTGTGGCTAGCTTCATAGCCTTAACCCATTGCACCAGCAGGGAGGGCCCGGTCTGACTGTTTTAAACAAACATTCCCTATTGGGTTCTTCTGTGAAACCCCAAGTCCCCCTGCCACATTTGAATCATTTTTTTCTTAAGTAATACTTACCAAAAGTACTTGAGTTTGTTTTTGTTTTGTTTTTTCATGTTTATTGCAAGTATTTCAATGAAAGATTTTATCTAAAATAAGAATAGAAAGCAGAAGATAGTCAGAGTTAGAAAGACATCTCATGAGGAAGTTTTAACTTTATGGTTTCCTCTTTAAGACAAGCAGGACTATAAAGCGCTCCCATATTTATTATCTTATTTGGGCTAACTACCTCCCAGAGATAAAAAGAGCTCACCATTTTGCAAGCTCAGAGAAGTTAAGTGATTGTATACGGGCACACAGCTTTTATTTAGGACCTGAGCTTAATGGGAAGCCTAACTATATATAGTATAGAAAAATCTCCAGAAGAATGTTGATTTTAATTTAAAATTTGATCTGTTGTTTTCAGTTCCTTTTCTTCTTAATCTTAAAACAAAATAGTTTTTCTCACATAGGCAGAAAAATCACCATCATAATCTCTCTGCCTCTTATTTTTACACCATGATTACAATGAGAACTGTGAGCCTAAGCTACTGATCAGCTTTAAAGTCCAGGCCTTTTCTGGGAAGATTCAGCTCAAAATTCAGGTACAAAATATAGAGAGCCATCTTACTTGGCTTCTAAGTTCTGTGTGAACTAAGCATGATCTGTCTCTGGAGATGATAAAACCCATCTGACAGCAACTTTATTGCTCACCAATGACCACCTACCTTCTCCAATCCACAGATAAGATTTTTTTAAAAAAAGAGATTTCCATTTTGAAATGAATTCTGCAGTTCCAAATCATTGTTATTGAAGTAAGAATTGTAAAATGATCCAAATATAAAGTTTAAGATTTCATTCTCATGAAGTATTTAGAGGTTTGACTTAAAACCTTCATCCTCATGATGCACTTAGTGGTTTGGCTTAGAACCTTCATCAAAATTTAAGCCCTCTTTGATGGGGCAAATAGGGTGTGTGTGTGTGTGTGAGAGAGAGAGAGAGAGAGAGAGAGAGATCCTGGCCATTATTAATGAAATCTACAGAATAAAATGAAATTTTTGATAAACTAAGTTTTCTGTTTTTCGGATAATATTTTTTCATCCACTCTCTAGTAATTCATCCTGCTGTCTATGTGCAGCTAACACTCGCTCCCAAATCGAGTGACTTCAGATTTTAATTTAGTGGAAGCGTTAAAGAAAGCAGATGATTCCCTGTGATAAGTTAAAGCAGATATCTTCTAGGTGAAAAGTTAAAGTCATTTATTAGAGGAGATAGTGCTGTGATATTCTTCAAAGTGACGCCCAACACGAGACCAGAATCTAAACGATCGGCTTTGGGCTCACGATAGAGAGATAATTTTGAAATGGATGATCACATTTTACACTGGGGCCATGGAGGCAAGGAATGTAGAACACAGTAATTACAAGTTTAGTCTTGATAAAACACTCTCCATCCTGTTTAAGTCAGCAGAGGTTAGCTTGCTCGGATCTCCACTTTTAATTGGTTTTGGACTTGGGTTTTTAGGGGGCGGAGGGCCATGTTCAAATTAGAAGGATCACTGAGAAACCATGAGCTGAGAGGGCAAGCTGGGAAACAGTTATTTGCTGAAGCTTTTATGGAGCCTTGGTCAAACACAGATACCTGTAGAACCAAGGGTTCTTTCTTAAACTAAGATGTAGGAAGTTACATGTCTTGTCAGTGAAGGAAATTCTATAAGCAAGGGAGGTTAATGACATTAAGTATGTGCATCTTAACCCTTATATTTTCACTGTCAAGAGTATATGGATATGGCTCTTTCTTTAGGAAGATTACACTTTGTTAGCTGTAAGTAAATTGGATATATCTTGTTGATTTTCTAGCAACGAAACTGTGAGTTCCTTTTCTTTCCCTAAAATGAGGGTCCTCGTCTGATTAATAATACTTACTATTTGATTGTCATCACCTTGACATCACAAGAACATCAGGGAATCAAACAAAATTCTAAGCCAAGTTTTAAAATGGAAATAGACATTTTGAAAACATCTTTAATGACTTGGCTGCCTTTTGACAAATGTTTGTGGTATTTTGAAAAAAGCCAAGTTATTTATTTAAAAGCATGCAAACTCTGCTAGCTGAACCCCATCGTTTAACAATAAATGATGCTTTTGCTGATAAATGATTCTTTTTATGTAGACTAGCAAATGAAATAGGAGATGATGTCTGAAGGCAGATGAACACTCAGCTGTCTAATGCTTTCATCTATTATAATATGGTTAAAAACAGCCACAAACTCCCCCCTAGACTTCCCAAAACAAACCTTAAATTTGTCAATTCCAGGGGATTCTCCATCGATTGACTGTCTTTATTCTCTATTTTCTTTTCCTTCTTATAGCCCAGAAAGGTCAGTGGTTGAGTGGATTTTTTGACTATGGTTCTTTCTCAGAGATCATGCAGCCCTGGGCACAGACTGTTGTGGTTGGCAGAGCCAGGTAAGAGTTCTTTTGTTTTGGAAGCTCTTTTCCCCCCAATTAAAAACAAGAAAGGAAAGGGTTGTAGCTGTATAGGTTTTTATCAACAATGCTGTTTGTCTAAACTTTCCAAAAATATTGGAGCCTCATCGTGCCCAAGGCAGACGACTGGAATGCTGGCCCCAGTAGCCACTTAGTGGTCACTCCAGTGACGTGTTTAACCTGAAGTCTCGTCTTGACAACACTTCCTCTTCATGATGCTGGAAGAAAAGCTCTTTGGGGGCCCTGAAGCCCTACTGCAGTCACCAAGGCCTACCAGCAGCTCCTCCCAGCCCAGACCATTTCCCTTCAGAAGTAGGTGACAAGTGAATCACACTCATCTTCTCTGTGACCTGAGGGAAGTTCTTTACCCTATCAAGGTTATTTAAGTAACAAGTGTACTCTGTTGGTTTATCATTAGATTGGAATTGCAAAAAAAGAAAAAAAACCACAACCACAACATACAGAAAAAGTTTACTTGAAACTGGAGTGGGTAAAACAAGCCAGAATAGGTTGCTTGGATACCTCTATTTTTCAAGTGGGAAATTGAAGTTTCTATTAAATTTTAATACCCACTCTAAGAAGTGCTTCACTCAACAACAAGCTCTGCACGAAATAATCTGTACCGCTCACTATAACGAGCACCTGCCAGGGCTGATCCTAATCTCATCCTGCACTGCAGAGGCATGCTGCCCTGGGGACCCACATCTGGAGCTCACCTTCCTCTCGGGGGCAATCAGTTTTCCTTATCTTGGTGAAAAGTGGCACCTGTTCAAGATTCTCAAACATGCCACGCTGGGTTGAGATTTAGATTCTAGCCTTGAAAATAATTCTAGGTTTTGTGGTTCTCTCAGTACAGCAGGTCAGCCCGCCTCACGCTGGCAGTGACAAGGAGCCATCAGATGGCAAATCCCGCAGACGGGATCGTCCACTGCGTCTCTGAATGGGAAGCAGGCCTGGTGTGAGCCCAGACTGAAACGGACTGCTTCTTTTTCTCTCATGTCCCAGTCTTCTACCATGCTGTGAGCTACTGGGGCTCAGTGAGAATTCTTCTTTGTACTTAGTAAAATTCCCACTAGGATGGTGGAGATGGGCGGTGCACTAGAGAGAGCACCCGGCTAACCAGAACCTATTTGTTTATTGTAAGAAGTCCTCACATCACATGGACACAAACTTTTTTCTGAGAATTTATCTCATCTTTTCTGCTTCACTTTTCCTGTCTATAAAAAACTTGATAGATGTTAAACCTCACAAAGCCAAACCTTTGTTAAAGTCTTTAAGGTCCTCCCCTGGGAAGCCAGAGAGTAACACTTTCTACTTATGATTGGAGGAATAGGATTGCTCTGCTACCAAGATCATTCAAGCTTGGCTTTGGTTAGCTCTTGCCATTGTTTATTGCGACACTCTCTCTGACTTCTTCCTTTCTTTCTATCTGATGAGTTCTGGGCTTCTTACTCCAAACACATACACATGCTCACAAGTATATAAAACACAAATGGAGCTAGCTTCTTTCAAAAGCAATGGCATTTCGAGAAATAAATATAAATGTATTCTTCTGGGATTGTTACTGTAAGTGCTGCCAAAACTCATCTTTGGTATGTATGTTTGGAATATGTGTGCTATTGGCTGTAAATTGTCTTTTATTATTCCATGGCACCTTGTCCAGGGACACACTATAAAACAAGATGTAGCATCTTCATGTGCTAGCCTGATAAAATTTATATGAAGTATAATAGAAAACAGAAGTTGTTCTGAGCTGTTTTCAAGTTCAATAAATAACTGTAATACTCGGATAAAGATGTTCTTTATTAGGTCACATGGGCCCTAATATATAAGTTATAAGTTACCGATTTAGGGTGGCTTTTGCAATTACAAGTTTCCAGTTGGATTGTTAATCATTGTGAACAGAAATATTTCTAAACCCTCCTGTGTACCTCCTGCTCGTTGTCTGGTTGTCTAGAGGGCTTTTGATTCTGATTCAGTGCGGGCAAGTGACAAGGGGGTGGGTGGTCCTCACTCAGGCCCCTGTCAGGCCTCTGGTGATGACAGGAATCCATTTCCAGTAGCCAGTGTAACAACCGAAGACCATCCCTCATAGAAAAGTTTGTTATAGAGATGCTGTGGGGAATGAGAGACTGTAGCCTATCCCAGCCCCAACCCTAAGGAATGCAGCTGAGAAGATTGAATCACATTTTTCCAGAGTAAGGCCTCACTTACTCTGTACCTTACAGAACTCCTTTCCCCCTCCCTGATTCTTACTAGGGAATCTTCACTCGGACAAAGTTAGGAAGATATCATGGAGTAATGAAAACAATTTGAATAGTTTTTAAATTAACATAACTGGAGATGACATGTTCTTCCAGTACAGGTCACATTTCACCAAGATTACTGCTGAAGGTTTTCCCTGTGCCATTATTCTCTTCCAGAGGAAGAGAAGGTTAAGGGCTTGTTTACTACTCTGGCATTGGCACATATCTTTCAGGATCCAATGACAGCTATACACTTCCCACTCACATCTAGAGGGAAGAATCTTACTTGAAACCATGTTATTAGTACTCTACTGAAACCGCAGTCTAATTCAGCAACATCAGCACCCATTGAAACAAGTTACTGCAAGTTTGAGCTTCCTACTGTCTTTCAGATCATTTCTTACCCTCATCATCAAAAAGGTATTCTAGAATTAACTGAGGAATTTCATTTGACAACCACAGAGCAGGGGGTGTATGCCCTGATTTAAATATAGCAGCTTGCTAATTGTAACCCTTTGTTTGGATTTATCCTGTAGTGGGGAACAGGGATGATTCTGAGGATAGGTTTCCACCATATTCACAAATATTTACCATATTAACCAAATTAATACACTCACATTTTACTCCTAGAAGATTCTGATCTCCCCCTGCTTTCTGTACTTGTTTCCAATTTTTTACCCCAGTGTTTTAATGTGAGATTGGAAAATAAATGACTAGCTGTAATATTGACATACATTAGGTTCTTATATGGCTCATTTTTTATTAGGCTAGGAGGAATACCGGTGGGAGTAGTTGCCGTAGAAACCCGAACAGTGGAACTAAGTATCCCAGCTGATCCTGCAAACCTGGATTCTGAAGCCAAGGTAGGTCATCTCAGCTACCCTGTACACCTGTGCTTGGGCTGTATTTCTCTTCTGAGAGCCTGATAATTGGGAATTTTGTAATCCACCACATTTAGAGGGATTTTAGGCTGTGCTTTGTTCACTTTTATAATGACTCTAAATGGACTACAAGCTAAATTCTGCCTGAAAAACTAAATAGGCCTTTCATGGTCTTGTTGATGCTAGAGACAGTCTTGGGGTTAGGGACATGGGGATGTTACAGAAAGGTAGTTGAGATGATGCTGAGGACTCTGGTTCCAGATTCTTTGAGTGTATGCGTAGAGCTACTACTGGGACTGATGATGACATCTGCTCTGACATCAAATGGGAATATCGTAGTCCATCTTTTTTTTTTTTTTTAAGATTTTATTTATTTATGCATACAAGAACTGGGGTACAGGTCAGAGGTGTGGGGCAGTGAGAATATTCACCAGAGACAGAGTGGGGAGCAGAACAGGCAGATTGATGAAGTACACTGCTGAGGGGAGCAGCAGGCAAGACAAGAGAAGTCTGCCACACCATGTGGGTCACCTCCAGGGCCGGGGATTGAACTCACACTGAAGCAACTTTGGCTAGCTTCTTAGTGCTGGGCTTTAACCACACTGCACCACCAGGGAGGGCCCTCAAGTATCTGTTAATTAACCACAGAGCTGGTTAAACTGTACTAAGCACAAAGGTGAGGGGACTTGGAAACTGTTTCCAATGAGGATTCCCTAGATTGCATGCTTCAAATGTATGAGAAACAGTAAGGTTTCCTTCCTTCAACTAAAGAACTATGGTACTGTCAGACTTAAACAGAGCATTTAATAAAATCAGACCAAAATCCTTTTCTCCCTTTTTTTCTTCAGAGATGGTCTTCATGAACAGTGGGTTGTATATTTTGGGTTGATTTTGAGTTTTTAATCAGTAAAATTTGGCAAGATTCCCCCTCAGATTTTGTGTTGTTACTTGTGTCTTGCTTTTTGGCTTCCACCAACAGATAATCCAGCAGGCTGGCCAGGTTTGGTTCCCAGACTCTGCATTTAAGACTTATCAAGCTATCAAGGACTTCAACCGTGAAGGACTTCCTCTGATGGTCTTTGCCAACTGGAGAGGCTTCTCTGGTGGAATGAAAGGTGACTAGCCTGGCTCCGGCCCAGAGGGGCACAACTGGTTCCCTGTGCCTTGCAATGGGCAGAGGGAGGGTTCTATTAGACAAAACCTATGGGCAGCCTGACAACCTGTCACCCTAGGCTTTTTGGGGATTATCTTCCCCCCGAGGTATCTTCTGAGTTGCAACTTGAATGGGGAATTTTGATATGTTTTACAATTCAATATAAAATTTCAAAGCAGTCTACTTGTGCCATCTCGGTGGGCTGCTCTTATGGATTTAGCTTTCACAGGTGAGTGATAGATAGTCTCACAGTCCCTGGGAAATATGAGTGTGCTAGTCTCTGTCCTTCTTTTCTGGGCAACTCTTTGTCGATGTTACTCTTTAATGCTCTGCAGTGACCAAGACAGATTCTGAAATTAGCCTTCACCAGAAAAAAATGAACAAATTCTATACCAGAGGCTGTTGTTTGTGGTTTATTTATCCAACAGCAGCCCTGAGCCTGTGGCTCCAGCATATTAGACCATTACTATAAAGGTTCTGCTCTGTCCTCTGAGAATGGCTTAGTGATTAGGTAGCCAGTATCGCCATTTACTGAGAATCCTCCGTGTGCACAGCCATTGTGGACGGCGCAGGGAAGCCAAAGGACATGCTCTCCCTTTTGGAGTAGTGAGGCTGTCTCCTGTGGACACATGGCCAGGCTGAGGCCACGAGACTGCCTGCTGTGAAGGGATGAGTGTGCTAACGAGGGTCATCTTCATTTGCTGGGACCCACACAGGGCTGAAGTAGAATGGGCTAGAGGAATGGAATAAGGGAGGACTTGATGTGCTGGAGTAAATAGAGTAATCAGAGAATGCTGAAGACAGAAAATGAACTCTCAGTAGGGCGCGAGGCCGAAGCAGCTCTAATCTCTGAGGGAGGAAAAGCCTGGGGAAGCCGCCCTTTGACAGATGATCAGCAGTGTGTGCGTAGAGACGGAGGCTGACGCCAGCTCCTTACCTCTCCAGGGAAGACCCTGACAGATCAGGCCTCCCTGGCAAAATGGAGGCACAATGGTATTTTTCATGTTTTGTTTCAGTTCAAATTTCCCCTTTACCAATATTTGATGAAACATCTACCACATTTTGTACTTTTCTTGAAGGAGACTTGGACTCTACATACAGTTAATGTTTGCTTGTTTTCTTTAGATGCTCATGGTGTATTATTTTTTGACCACAATAATAAATCAGTGGAAAAACCATGTGATCTTGAGCATCTAACTTAAACAAGTCAATCCAACACATTTTTGTTGTGTCTATGTACAAGGAACTATGCTAGGTCCTTCAGAAAAAACAAAAATAAGTCAGAAGATAAGTTTGCCTTAAGGACTCGAGAAAAATGTCCAAGGCAGGATAATAATGCCTTATGTATAAGCAAAATGTCCTGGTGTTCAAGAGAGTATGATACTATATTTAGGTAGATTTGGAGGGTGGAAACGGGAACCTGGAACCCATTTCATTGTTACACATGATGTTCATTCATAGCATCAGATTTCACTTGCTCTCAAATTCCTTGGCTATAAGATTTACATTAAGATTTAGGAGAGAATGCGTTATGATTAGCTCTGTTCTGGGGACTGTGGAAAATGCACTCTGCCTAACATTACTTAGGAGTGACAGCCTGACTGTTTTATCCTAACTGGGGTTCAGGGTTCAAAAATTCCTGGTATACTGCTTATAGGAAAAGCTTCTGTTCAGCTACATATTTTGGCTAAGCTCCAGATTGGCTGATAGCCCTGTAACAAGAAAAGCAACAAACAATTAAGATTCATTGAGCTCTTTTTACCAGCAACCATGCTAACCATTTTGTCTGCAGTCGCTTATATAATCATCATACCAAGTACCTCTAAGGGCTAAGTTATATTGTTTCCCTCATTCTATATAGATGGAGACTTGGGTTAAGTAAATTTCCCAAGATTCATTTAGATTAAAAAAAAAAAATGCTAGGGTTGGAGAGGAGCATAGATCTGCCTGGCTTCTGTAGCATGGCCGGCTGATTTTAAAGCCTAGGACCGGAAGCAGGTCTACTAGGGAATCCTTAGAGAAGAAGAGCTAGGATCCTGAGAAAGTTATTATCCCCTCCCTCCCCTCTGCTTCGGAGTTGGCCTTGGTTATTGCAACAAGAGATGTCAGGAGGTCAGAAGTTAGTTAATTTTTTTACTTGTAAAATTACATAAGATTTATCATTTTAACCATTTGTAAATGTACAAATAACAGCACTAAATTCATTCACATTGTTGTATAACTATTACGCCACATACACCCAAAACTTTTTAATCATCCCCAAAAAGTTTATACCCATTAATTAACTCTCTCACCCTCCAGCCCCCCTTGGCAAAAAAAAAAAAAAAATAGTTGAGGGCCTGGCATAGACCAAAGCTAGCACTTTTTTCTGAATTTTGGTGCTGCTGCATCTGTTTTTACATCACTAAAGTCGTATCAACTTTGGGGAAGATTGCAATCGAGGGAAGGTAGGAGGGGGAAGAACTTGGTATTTTATATTTACATACAGGTCAGGATGTTTCCTACATATTATCTCATGTAAAAGGACCTAAGCTGAGAGTCATTCCACATCCCTTGGGGAGATGTTTGCAGTTTTGGTTTCAATACTGGCTGGGGATTATGCAGGGAGGGAAAATAAACAATTATGCCATCCCTCAGTGCACACAAACACACAGCCAGGAGCCGACTGCACTGTGGGTAAAATGACTCCAAAATTGTGTGTAATGAGTAGGAAAAGATTAGAGACAGCTCTTGCTATGCTGAAAATTGACATTAGTGGAGGGAGAAAAAAAAAAACTCTTTACTAGTCGGCCTAGGAGGTCTAATTCGAGCAGTAAAAATATAAATAAATAAATAAAAGCATGTCAAGATGGTATTGGTGCTTTTTTTCCAATGAGCTCTATCTGGCCGGAAGGCTATTCAGCATAATGCAAAATTAAATTATAAAAACTGGCTGAATATTTAGATGGAAGAGCCATTTGGAAGCAGTTTATTTAGACGAACCGGCAATGACCCACAACAGGGAGACATCAAGCGTGAAATTTACTAGAAATTAGCACCAGGGTCCCAGCCTCAGCATGAATAGCTTGATAGGATGCAAATCCCAGTGATATTAAGCTGCCTCACTGCTGGTGCTACAGGGTCACTCTCAGTTGGCTTTTCATGTTATACTTATTATTTTTTCCTGGGACAGGTTATAAATAACAATAAAAAAAACATTTATTGAAAACTTTAACCGGAATGAAAGTCTATTTTAAAGTCTCTGGTTACTTGGATGTTGAAGTACAATGTCAGCCAGCCATAATGAACTCATGAGAGACATTACTGTCTGCAGCTTGTGTACACCTAATGTTTACCTTCAGCTTCTAACAGATTATCTCACCCCTAGCCAATAAGACCCATGCCTGTCTTGAGAGTGTGGGGCACTTGGAAACACCCGACCTCCCTGCCCCTTGTTTGGAACATGTGGCTGCCACTATTTATCCATGTTGTGTAACAATGAAGGCCCTGGGCAGGGTTGGTGCAAGGGTGCTGAGAACACGCCAGAAAGGCTGGGCGATCACCATTCACACAGAGGTGCTTTGCCCAGAATGCTTAGAAAGCTCCTCGCTCCGGCTTCACTAGTGACAAGCCTGTCAGTGTTTTCATTCCCAGTTGCACTTACCAGGGCCCGAGAATCGACAGTCAGCATATGCAGAACTTTAAAATTCCAGCCTGCTTTCCAGCTATACCCTCAGGGATCTCCCCATCTTCGCTACTCTTGGCTGTCTTTAGTTTGTCTCTTAAATATGAAGGGATTTCAAACAAAAGTGTGCCAGCTTGTTAGCACGTGCAGCTCGCCTTCCAAGACTTGTGGTTTGATTCAGTATAAGCATGTTCTTCGTGAAGTTTGTTTACTTTGTAATAGCCTTGGTTGCTTTTGGGTGTTCTGATGGTTGGGGCTTAGGTCTGTTAGTGTTCTAGGTGAGATGGACATGTTGTTTTCAGTCCCACACCTGTCAGCTTTAATGAAGCTTGATGCTCCTTTTCTACTCAGTCTTGGGTCCTGAAGATTATGGTTTGGCAGTCAGATCCAAGCCCTTCACATAGCTGCTAGTATCATCAGTACAATGCCTGACATTTCTGAACATACCAAAAAATCCAGGCAAGATTTAGAAGTAGTCAGTCAGGGATTCAAGTTTTTTTTCTGGTCTGGAATGTGCTCAGCCATTGTATCAGATGCTGAAAGGCAAATGACCTCAGCCCTGTTCCCTTTCCGAGGTGGTGGAAGGTGGACTTGAGAGCCAAAAATACACGGGTTCAGGCCTTAACGTCTGTCACTTTCTCAATTAACGTGGAATCAGTTTAGTCACCTATAACTGGAACATAGATTTTCTGGTGATTGAATAATATGTGTGAGTAATCATGGTCCCTGGTACACAGTGAGCGAGCCAGGAAAATGAAGGAAACTAAAGTCCATTTTACTAAGGTAAAATGCACACAGCTCAACTTTCCAACAAAGCAGCTATTTGCATCTACTATGAAATCCAGCTTTTTTCTGTAGTTAAGTCAGTAGTTAAATCAGTAGAAGTACGTTTTAAATGAAGTCCCTTCCTTTGGGGGGGAGCTGTATTTATCAATCATAACACAGAAATAGATTTTGGTGTACATACATCGTTAGCAAACAGAAGTGAGTGGAGAGACTGAAAACTTTGTCTTCATTTATTTCTTTTTTCTTGTCACATTGTGTGACATTTTTATGCTGCTTTCTATTCTTTCTCCTTTTCTCTGTGCTGTTCATTTCTTCACATGTGATACCATTGAGGGCCACTTCTTTCTGTTACTTGTTCTGAGGCTACACTCTTGGCAGCACTGAAAAATGTACTGCTAATTACACAATTATTTTATTATGTAGCCCTGGTTGAAATATCCACTAAAGAATTAATTTAGTTAAAATAATTTGAACTGAGCAATTATTTTCATAACCACGGAATTAGCGTAAAGTGCTTAAAGTCCTTTATTCCCTGCTCTTTATACAGCAGTTGTGTAATTAGCAGTAAATTTTTTTGGTCCTTGCTTTCCTCCCCAAAGAATAAATGTCTTTGCTCTGATCATATTTACAGAGCATATGACCATACACTTTCCACACAAGACAGGGAATTTTTCCTGGAGCAGCTTCTGAAATTTTGGAATTTCAGAAGTCTTCACAGATCAGCAAGTTTGGAACCATGGAGAGAGAAAGTGCTTTGCAGAATACTGTGTTCACTGATGGCTTGTATAAAAAACCGTTTTTATTTTGGAGAAGGTGGCAGTTTAATTTGTCAGTAACTACAATGCAAGTGGTTTCTATTTGGGTTGCTCTTAGCTTCCTGAAAAATGTTTCTTTGCTTTGGATTTTCAGAATTGATTTATTCCAAATTGATCCTCCCTTTGATAGGAAAGTCTAAACTCACAGGAACCCGGTATTTGGTGTTTAGAAGGGATGCATGCTGGTTACACTGAAATACTCATTAAACATCTGGAATCATGAACCTTAGGAATATTTAGTCTTCAGTAAGCTGTGAAAAAGGAAGAAGTCATACATTAATGAGAAATAGTTAACTGAACTTGTTTTCTAAGAATTTGGTGTATCAGGGCTTCCTTTGCTTCAGGCTGTCCCTGGCTTTCAGGGGATTACAAAGTGTACCTCTCTATAGAATAAAGAGGTAGCTCCTTTACTGTAGCTGTGTGATATTTCCAGTAAATATCTATGCATGTAAAGCTTCTTTTTTTTTTTTCATCGATACTCTGATAAAAATGCAACTGTTAATGTTTTTTTTTTTTTTTCTGTTTTGTGCTCATTCTGGGCTGTGTACATGCTCATTCATTCATCAGCAGACACTGAGCACTAACTACATTCTAGGCAGTGGGCAGGACAGGGACACAGATCAAAGGGTGCAGTTTTGATGATAAAATTCTTTAAGGATCCATTTCCATTAGCTGCACATTTTAAGAGCTTATTGCATGCTAAGTATCATGAGAAGAATTGAAAAGAGCTTGAATAGTTCCTTCAGAAAACTTAATGTAGTGAGAGAGATCACATATTGACATGAAAAATACTCACGTTTGTAGAGCAAGTGTGAATTAATGTGGTGAAACCTAAGTACAGAAATTCAGGGAGGATGTAAAATGGATATGCTATGCACAGGACCCGCACACTTTATCTTGAGAGGCAGTGCACTTGTGCTTTGGAAGACCCCAGGAGTCCAAATGGGGTACAAGCGGAGATACCAGTCCCTTTAGTCTTCAGAGTAGCCAAACAAGACCTGGGCGACTGACCCAGGCCTGTCCCCCCAGGCCACAAGCAACCTCCTCCTGTAGGTACAGTGTGCCATGCAAATACTTATATGTGTGTCACGGTCTGAAGAATGTTCAGAAGCATTGCTTTGGAGAAGGTGCATCTTCGTGATTTCTAATTTGTCTCGTTCTCCATAGATATGTATGATCAAGTGCTGAAGTTTGGTGCCTACATTGTGGATGGCTTACGGGAGTGCTCTCAGCCTGTGATGGTCTACATTCCTCCCCAGGCTGAGCTGCGGGGTGGCTCCTGGGTCGTGATTGACCCCACCATCAACCCCCGGCACATGGAGATGTATGCTGACCGAGAGAGCAGGTAACTTCCTTATTTCCACTCACTGCCTTTAGGGATCCTCTAGCTGTTGGCTCCTACCTGAAGAACATTAAAGCCAAGAGAACTTTTTGAATTTTTCCATTCTCCAAACTCAGAAAAGGCTTTCCACATAGTGTCTGCTGGCATGAGAAGGAAACCAGGCTGGAGCCAGGATTTCTCAGTGCTGTCCACTATCCAAATTCTTCTGCCCACAAGGTCTTTATACCAGACACCTGCAAACTCTGAGATCTCCCCATTTTTGTTATTCATTTATGCCCATTTATTCTCATAGGAATGTGGCAGGGAGCTTAAAGGAGTTAGAATGGAAGGGCTGAATTGTTAGTCTGGAGTGTAGAGTCTTGACCCAGCTTTGCTGCTGACTAGCGAGGACCTTGGAGCAGTCTTGACTCAGCCTGGACTGCTGCTCCTTGTCTGTGGGACAAGCTGGGTGGTCATTGAGCTGAACCGCAGCACCTGCATTCTGTCTGTGCACACCACAGCTGCTCCCTGCAGTCTCTGGTACTGTTGGAGACTTGGAGAACACAATGTTTGAAATACCCAGAGGGCTGGAGAGAAAATCCTGGCTGTAGCTGGGAGGTAGTACCTGAAACTACTTGATAAAAAAGATGAAGTTAGCTTCCTTTCATGATCTCTTTCCAATCCTTTCCAGAGTAGGGAAATTCCATGACATATCTCTGACATTTTTCTAAGCTAATTCCTCCATCTAGTCATTTTACTAGAATACCTGTCTCTCTTTCCCCAAAAACCTCAGTCTGCTGCTATAAGGGCTACTTAGGAGATTCTAGGAGTTCTATTGTCCAGTCACTCACTAGCATTCTGTACCTGGGGACTGAGTGTTTCTAGTCCTCAACTAACCCCTGATCTGATACATCTGGGACAAGACCAGCTTCAGAACAAGACCTAGTTCTGTCACTTGTTACACTTAACTTCCCATACTTTAGTTTTCTCAGCTAATATATAAGAGTACTGACCTCACATTGGATATAGACTGGGTATGGGATTGTTACGTTTTGTATGTAAACACATAGAACAGGGCCATGGCAGGGCCGACCACATACTGTTAACTGTAATTTTCTTTCTTTTTTTTTTTTTTAATGTAAAAATGTGGGATTGTGCTTTAAGGAGGCACCCAGAGTAAGACCCCCTAGAGTAGATCACCATCAGTGTGCATTGGGAGTCACCCAGGGACCTCACTTTGAAGCTCCATGGCACTGGACAAGCATTTCACCTGCTGCTTGGTCTGGCCTAGTGTGTCCGAGTCCAAGCAGCCGGCTGTCCAGCTGTCCGCTGTGTGTGGTGCTGAGCAGCGTCAACCCCTTGTTGTATGGCCTAAATGCTGGGTGCTTTTCTCTCATCACTGCACTTACGATGTCTTTTTTTTTTTTTTTTCCCCCTGGACAGTAATGTAATTTCTTTTGCCCTTATCAGCTGTAGGTGGTGGAATCTGTATTCCATTTGAAATGGAAGTAGACTGGTGTGGTAATGAGGATTATTTTAATTGCTTTTTGCCACACTTTTTCTCATACCTTCTCTGGTGTCTGCTTCTCTCTCAGGGGTTACTTCTGTGAACTGTGGGTGGGCAAAACCATAATGAAGCTATTTCCTGGTCCACAAATTGTAACTGGCCTCATTCTGTTGTATCCTTCCTTAAAGTGCCCTTATTTCTGTTTTGTTTTCTTTCTCTCTGATCCAGGGGATCAGTTCTGGAGCCAGAAGGGACAGTAGAAATCAAATTCCGCAAAAAGGATCTGGTGAAAACCATGCGTCGGGTGGACCCCGTCTACATCCACTTGGCTGAGCGATTGGGTATGTCTGCTCGTCCTCCTGGCAAATCAATGAGCCATTCAGCTGATTTGTAATGAGTGCATTCATAGGCCAGGGGAGGAGGCACTGAAGCATTTGATCAAATTCATGATAATCTTTATTTACTGTCCTCTATATGGTAAGAACCCTGGTAGAATGAAATAGTGTGTGTAATAGAAGGGAAAGTAGAGCCTAAAAAAGCAAAAGTCACCCGATTTTTCTTCTGATATTTCCTTATAGTTCAAGTAGCCCATCTTTCTAGGCTTATGGATGTCCTTGCACAGAATGAGTAGCTAGAAGTAGCTATTGGGGGCAGGCTACCCAAGCAGATAATACGCCGCACTTAAGTGTCCTGTCTGCTTGTCTCCTTGGACAAGCCCACCTCATTTCTAGGGGGCTGAGAGTCAGTATTGTGGGATAGAAAACCGGAGACCAGCCCAGCCAGCTCTCTGGGGCCATTCTGAGCTGGAGAAATGGGAGTGGAGAATGTGCGCCGTGTGCTTGCCGAGGCTACACCACAGTGGCCTGGGAGCCCTGCGCTTGATGCTGCCAGCGATGCCTCTGCTGCTCATTTGTTTCCGGGGCTTTTGGAGGCACTTGCATTCGATCCTAGGACCCACTGTGGGAGCCTGTGCTGAGTCCAGAGTCCAGATTCTTTCAAAACACAAATTTTCTGCCAGATCCAGATCTCTCACTGAGCCCCTTGCTGTATTAGAAAGGATAATGCTCGAGGCGCTTTTGCTAGTGAGTTTGTTTTGGTTGTTCTAAATGAACAGATGTAATCTTTAAAAAATAGTGAAACTCAGTGAATGAAAGGAGAACAAAATGAAAAATGCTGGCTCATTTGTATCCCAAATAGTAATTTAATTAATAAAGTGCCCGTTGTGGTTCTGTCTCCTGACTATGTAGAGAAACAGAAACTTTGTGTGCTCGCTTATGCCCTTGAGAGCACACGTGCTGGCATTAGCGGCCCAGGCCAGTTGCCAGCCACACACGGTGACCGGAGTTGCTCTCAGCCCTGTCTGTGTCCCATTGTTGCCATCAGGTAACAGCCACCGATAACTAACCCACTGGCAGTTTGATCCTTTTACGGGAAATGCACACGTACAACAAGAAATTGGCAGAGTTGTTTATAAAATCTATTGCCATCCAGAACTGTTGAGGTGGTTTTTTCTCTTTCTTCTCTAAACAGGATAATTATTTCTGACCAACCCTATACACTTTAATTAAAGTAACTGCAGCTCAAGAGCAAGTTAGTCACAACTGTACATAGAGAGAGCTCTAAAAGCTTCAGCCACTGATAAGCATCTCACTTCGATGGCTCATAATTGCTCCCAGCATCCGGCGATCGTTGCTGCTGTTTTTACTACTAATTCCGTACAAAGGCAGCAGTGCCACAATTGTAGGATGCAGGGAATTGCATAATTTTCCCTTTTTTTTTTTTTTTTTTTTTTTTTTTTTTTTCTCTTTTTTGCTGGTTTTCTTTCTGGCCAATTTAAAATTTGTCAAAGTCGGTCTTCTTCTGGATCACTGCCCTTTGATATTTCGCGCACTCCATTTGCCACAAACAAGCCGCAGGGCCGCAGTTCATGCTGACTCTAGCAGAAGCAGAGAGAGCTCCATTTATCTTACACTGCCTGCTGAATTCCTACTCATTAACTGGGGGTTCACTGCCTCTTTTTAACCCCCCAATGGCTGTTATCATCCCTTCAGAGTAACTGGGTGGTAGGAAGAGGGATCCTCTCTGACATCTGCAGACTGACTGGATGGTGAGAGGTGTGGGGCTAAAGCCTCTTTCTCTTGAAGGAAAGTGATACTACTCCCACCTTCACCCAGCACCTTTTTAACTTTTGAAACACAGGAAGGGAAGAGGAGATTACCAATGGATGACCATTTAATCATTTGTTACAAATCATCTCATTATCAATTTCCTATTCTCATTGAAGAAAACTATATTTATTTAACCTTGACCAAAATGGCACTAGAGAAAGAATCTACTAAATCTACTAAAGTGAGACAGGGTCTGGCCAGGGCAACTTGGGAACATGAGCAGAGAGTCTGGATTAAATGTACCTTTGTATGAGTCTTGGTTGTGTTGCTGCAGATAAATTGTTTAACTTTGCTGAACATCAGTTTCTTCTCCCCAAGTGGAAATAATGCCTCCACGCTCCTAGCTAATATGAAGATCACATGAAGGCACGTTTGCTTTGAGCCCATGAAGCTTTGAACCTGGGATTGGCATCATTAGAAGAGAGGCTGTATTTGGTCTCCGGTATGCCCTGTGGCTTAAGTCTGCTGGGGAACTCGTGGAATCTGAAAGGAAATAGGAAAGAAAAGACATGGTATTGTCTTGTAGGCATTTGCAGGCTTTCAGGGAGATCCCACACCTGGGCCAGCAGGGAGGTAATGGAACCTGCTGTGAGCTTAAGTCCTTTGGGATTCACCCAGTTTTTAGCTCCTCTCAACACCTGCACCCTAAGACTGTCAGTATGCTTTTTCACAGAGTGAGTGAAAATGATCTCATTTTCCAGATGGGAAGATTGAGGCAAAAAAAGAAGTTAAATATACCATCCAAGGTACAAATGGAGCCAGAATGGGTTTCTGGTTTCCTCTATTCTACTTAACTCAGAATTTCCTCAGATTTTTACCTCAACTGACTATTGAGCCTGGTCAAAATTAAGCAGGAATCCTTTTCTTTTGTGATCTAAAGCCAATTCCACTGAGAAAAATCTGATTTAGAAGAAAGCCTGTGGGAGTGGATGTTATCTGCTGTTCCCAATCTCCCCAAATCAGGCTCTGCCCTGCGGAGCATCCTGCCAAAGACCTAGATAGACCAGCACACCATGGACAGGCCATTCAGAGCAGGGTTACCAGAAGGATAATGAGGAACTTCTGACAGCTAACTTCATCTCTCTCTGAATTTTTATTTTTAAAAATGACCTTTTGCCATTTTGTCTAGTTAGTTTGGGTCAGAAGGTGGTGAATACTAGTTTATAGGCCTGTGAGTATAACAGAGAATGAAAATAGTACATCGATTTCTCAAAAAGGTCAAGGGAAGAAGTACCCCAGAAAGAAAGGTGAATTAAGCCTAAATGCCAGTCATGCGTTGCTGGACTAGTTCTGGCCCGAGTTATCAGAACTTGGTTTAGCGTTCCTTTGGGTGGATAATGTCCTGGTTATCTTAAGAAAATTAAATCCCTCTTCTAGATCTAGAGCCCAAGCCCTCCCAGGCCTCTTGGTTTCCTCTGACATCCTTCTGCCTCCTAGAGCCAGGAGCGAGGAGAAAGGCCGTGGAGCAGGACAGCCTTCTAAGCCTGACCTCTTGAGTGTTGTGACCTCAGGTCCTCATCTTCCTGTGTGTTCAGAAGGAAATGACAAATCAACTTAGAAAAATGCCCAGCCCACTTGTGAAACAATTGAACATTTCTCACCATCCTTCTCCCTCAGTATAAGGAGTACAGAAGCCCCTTTGTAGAACTTTGTGGTGCCCAAGACATGTCCCAGTCATGGCCTCATTCCTAGACAACCTGGCTTCCTACCAAGTAGCACCCGACTAGGCCCACACAGTACATGCCCCAGGAGTGATGGGCTGACACAGACCGCCGCTGCCCTTCCAGACCGAGCCCACACCCAGTGTCCCTTCTGGCCCCTGCAGCTGGGGTGCAGAATGGAGCGCCATGATGGGTGAGGAGCAGTGTGTCTGTAACAGCCCTGGCCGGCCTTCCTCCCCAGCTTTTACTTTGCAGACCTTCCTTGGGCTTTCCATTTGTGTCCCATCTTCAAGATACCATACACTGAAAAGAGCCAAAGTTACTGTTTGAGGCAATAACTTGCCTTACCTAAAAGTTAACCCGTAAGCCTGGGAAAGATGTTCCAATACCCCTGCTTGGGAAGTGGCCTCTGGCCTGCTATCCCAGGGGTGGAGTATCCTCGCTGGCACCATGACCACCCAAGTGCTGGGTTCTGTGGGAGGTATGCTGAGGAGAAAACAGGAGGCTTCTGTCCCAGAGGAAGAGACCTATGGAATCTTGCCTCGTCAGTCAGAAACAGCTTACAGCCTCGTCACATTCAGAAGCTTGGCTTGATGCACTTCAGCACGATGGTAACCTTTCCAGGGAAGGAGAGGCAGTGGCTTGGATCTGATCCATGCATCTGATTGTACTCACGAATGCAGCTGGGGCTGTCTCTTCCTGGGAAGCACCATTCACCGTTCTCTTAGGTTACAGGGATCCATTAGGCATTTTGTGAGAATGAACCTGAGCTCGTGCCTGCACACAGGTGGTGGTCAGAACCGGTCAGTATGGGTCTGAGCCACCCTCTCCCCACTTGGTTTCCTGCTGGCCCCAGTCTCTGCCTGTCCACCTGCCCTCCTGGCTTGTGGCCACTAGGATTTAGAGAATTCTGTGCTGTTTCTGGACTCTTTTGTGAGGCAATATTCATTACATGGAGGCACTGAAGATAGGGTGGGGTGGGAGCAGGGTGGTGGGAATACATTTTTTAATTCTTATTTGGAAATCTCTGGGTTTACTATAATGGTTTTTTAAAATATGAACAACAGAGCACTAACACCACTGTGAGGAATTTTAGGGTTAAACATCCTTGAAAGAATTGCTGTTAAAATCAATATGCAAATGCAGTTGTATTGAGATAGGTATGTCTCCCTTTGAAGAAAAGCAGATATATGAAAATGGGATTTTAAAAAAAACTAGATACACTGGGAGAAATTATTCCCATTACAAAGGGATTATTTGCTTTACCAAAGAATTCACTGCAGGGTTCCTTCTAAATAGCTCCCTTAAGGCATTTAAAACAGGATCTGATTTACGCAGTTTTTCAGGAATGTTTTTGTGGACACAAAATAGTTTTGCAAGGCTCTTGTTTTACTCATCTTCCTATCTTTATAAAGGTATTTCTATGTTATTGATAACATAGAAAATGTTATCAATAGATCTTTTAAACAGCTACTTATGTTTATACTTCTGAATGTTAATAAGACTCCAGTT